ATATAAGCGCGGCGCCATCTTTTGGCGATATTGTAGTAGACTAAAAATGGCTCTTCTTTTCTGGAGGTAAGCGGAAATGGAGCTAAGCGGGGCTGGGTCCAGAACACATGATATGAGGATCTGTTGCTTCAGGATTTCAGCCTTCTAGATCTGTGCTATGCTTGTCTTGAGACAAGCTGCGAATTAATCTTAATCTGCAAAGTTCAAAATAATCTCAATGGCTTGAAAAGCCAGACAAATTTTCTGCATATTTGATTTAGCTTATTTAATTCTCTGAGCTATTATGGTTATTGAATTCATGAGATAAGGGTTTTCTGATCTTTGAAAATGTTAATGATTTCTGCTAAATTTTCCTGAGAGCTTTTCTGCTTAACTTTATCACTGTAAAGGTTTTTAGGCATTTCTTGATTAGTTTGGGCTGAAGCTTGAATGAATTCGGGGAAGTCATCTTTAGTGGGAATTTCTTGCGGTTTTTCTATCTTCTCTAAATGGTTGAATCTTTTTCTGTGTACCTTACAACTACGATAAGAAGAAACGTGATTTTCGTGACAGTAAATGCAAGTTGGTTTTTCATCTGGTTTTAATTTACAGGTATTGGATCTGTGATTTTGTCAGCACTTACAGCATCTGAACATTCATAAAGCAGTTTTCTTCGTGAATTTCTTTACTTTAATTATAGGGAAGCTTCTGCGTTCCAAGTCTGCGTGAATTGCTTGCTCTGTGTAGAATCTTGTGATATTCTTAAGTATAACTTTAATTGAAGAGGCTGAGGAAATTTGGTACGTATGAAACCTAATCTGTGCTTTCTGGAATTTATCAACTGTAGCTTTATAATCAGCTTCGGTGGTAGTGTAAAGGAAAATATGACTGGCTTTGACTGCAACTTCAAATTCGTTTTACATATTTCTCTGAACATTTTGTCTATTTCAGACCAATCAACATCGTTTTCCGGAATTACTAATGGGGGATTTTCGTTTTATATTCTGGATTATTTTGTGTTGTAGTCATCTGCCTTTCATCTGTAACTTCCATAGCTTCGTTATTTTCGTTAAGAGTTCACATATGTTATTTTGCGGAATATCTGGTGGTGAGACAGACTCGGTATTTTTCGTTGTTTTCTTTGGAGTTTGCCAATCCTTCTGATTTATTGTTTTATCATCTGTTTTAGAATTTGCGAGCTCCGGGGTGTTTTGAATGCTTGATAAGATGAAAACTGATTTTGTTGAATTTCTTCTTGTAACTTTGAACGCATTTCTATCATTGGTGGGGAGGTTAATATCTTCATAGACTCCATACAGCTTAATTTATCGGGGATTTCGTTTTCTAATTTGAGTGAGAAATTTTTTGGGTTAGTCGAGTATTAAGATATTCTTGCGAGATAGCTTCTGTTAAATTAGGAAAAACGTTTCTGTGTTTGTTAACTACTGCTTCAAAATTTGAAGGGGAGGGTTTGAACTTCTTAGTATTATCGGCTATTTTCTTAGGACTTCCTGCGGTTTTCTTTCCTTTTCTCTGGGATTTACTTTTCTTAGTAGAAATTATAGTAGCAATTGTACTTTGAAGCGCTGGGTCATCTGAAGTAATTACACACATCTCTTTGGATGTAGTCGATTTTCTTGAATAATTCGAATAAGTAGAATCATTATCGCTATCCTAATCGCGGAAAGTAGCATGCCAAAGAATTTTGCCCTTATCAGGTGGTTCGCTATTACTGGCCATATCGAAGAGAACAAGCAAAAATGATATTTACCAAAAAAACAAGAAGAGCAGTCGTCGTCGCAAGGATTTTTTGTTCGTTTTGCGATTTTGCGTTGAATCACTATAAATGTCCGTTTCACTTTTCTTCCATTTTTTAACTCAGGATGCACAAAATTTATATCATCTTAAGAATTATCTAATCGTTGCCACATGTTCTATTCAAATACTATAATAAATCTGAAACGATGTATAAAAGAAATTAAGCAAAGAACAACAACAGAAAAAAGAAACAGTTTTTTACAGACGATTCAGTATTTCTCATTCAATTAATTCAGTTCTCACTTCGCGACAAAGCAAAAATGCATTAAAACTCAAAATGTCTGTATTGAAAATTATGAAGTAAATCTTAAACACTTATTTCCTCGAATAAATCCAGAATGGATTAAGCATGATTTAATTCGCAATAATAAAACAAGGTGTTATCTTTGTTATTGCGAAGCTTACTTTCTCTAGATTTGGCAACAAATCTACTAGTCTGTTGTTTCAAATGTAAACAAGCAATGGCCGACATGGCAAAAATGATTAGGCTTAGCGGCACTTAAACAACTTTTAAATTGTTGATAATTATAAAAATATTGCATACAGATTTACTAAAGTCATAAAAACCTTAACCGAAAGATAAGAACAGCATAATTCTATTATTTTTAAAGCAAAAAATGCGAAATTTGCAAACATATAAGAATAAAGAAACTGAGATCACTGAGCTGGGTAACAGAGTGGATATATATGTACATATATTTATATGTGTTTGGTGCTGCCGATTGCAACCAAAATACGAGGTGTGCATTTACATTTTATAGCAGTCCTATGCACAAAATGTCAACGTTCTGAGGCTACTCGTTTTTGAGTTATGCGAGATACGTACGTAAGACGCCACGAAAAATTCTCTTCAAAATCCATTTTAAATCAGTTTTACAATTTTTTTGGGGGAAAACCTCCATAAAACGATTTTTATGTGGGTTTTATTCACCATTGTTTTTAAAGGGGGTGGGAAATTTATGGCGATTTTTCATACCATTGATTTCTAAAAGCGGGTTCGATTTTTATGGGGACTCCACGGTCATTATATTACCCCAAAAGTCACTGCGCCAGCTCTCTCATTTACACACTACTAAAAGAGTCCTTTTTTTCTCCTTAACGTACAGATGTCAAGCAAAAACATCGTTAAATTGCATTCGATAGCGGTGAAAATGGATATTTGCGTTGAAATATCATGCCTGAAACTTTTCGCGATTACAATACTTCCTTTTTACTTCGTACAAGGAAGTAAAAAAGGATTAAATTGAAATTTTTAAAAATCTCTTTCTTAACGCATGCTGCTGTTGCCTAAAGCTGCTGCAAAGAAAAAACGATAAATACTTAAAATAATGTAGCAAAATTTTTTAGTATTGAATTGGATCATTATGTCTTTGTATTTGTCGCTTATTTGCACAAACTGATCATCTTGAGGTTCTTTTTTGCCTTGATTAAGCGAAGGACATTAAATAAAGTGCTATCAACTTCTACTATACGTAGTCTTCCTTTACATAAAAGGCACCCCTAAATGAAAGTGAGACTGATAAATCTTCGAAATGGTTTATTATTTTAAATATGAGTCTACTTGTAGTTTTGAGGAACATAAGGGATATTATACGGGAAAGAAAGTCGTTTCTCTCTGAGTGGTAACGAAGCAGATTCTGCAAGCAACACCCATTCGCAAAGACTTCTGTGCTTCACTGAGACTCATTTCGCACAAACCTTATTGTTAACTTAATTGTTTATGCACAATTGCCTTAATACTTCACATACTCAAAGACAATCTGTCTGGATTCTCCCAGGTGGTTATTCGAAGCTTCTGCTTTAAAAGCAGTCCTCTGCAGCAATTGATTCTCCAGAGAAATTAGGGACTATGTTTTAATGGGGTCGTGAGAGTCAGCTGTACTTTTAACATTCAGGATTAAAATCACTCCACCTTCGGAAAACTGCACTACGTGTCATACACGCAGTCCCGTGCACATTCTTCATTCGACTGTAAATGTTGCCTCCATTAATACATTCAAGCGACAAAAATCAGATTACTTCGCGCTGAGCCTATTTAGAGGAATCCACGGTATGACGTTGCTTGTTATCTTGCTTTTGTTTCTCTCAGTGACACACCGAGGTTAATAGCTTTAAACATATTTCTTCCGGCTTACATAGCTATTTACCGAATTTAAATATGTAATTTAAATTCTATATATTAAATTCTTTCACTCCCAATAATGCCACTGGAACAACAGTTACATATATTGTCGATTCCAGAAAAATAATAGTGTACATTATATTCCTAACGTTCTGGATAAAATTTGCAACTGGAAGTATGTTTTTCTAGATTAGTATTTAAAGAAACGAAGCCTGTCGCTATATTCCCTGACGCTTTGTACGCAAATAGCGCTGGCAAGGTTTGTCTCTCTTGCTATATATATTTTGTATTCTAGTAATTAACTTCTGCGATGGGGTAAATACAACCAAATATTCACTCTAACTACTAAACATACAGAGGTAACTTGACTTCTTCGCGGGTTAAGAGCATTAACAATTGTTTAGCTGTTAACTTATACACAAGCCAAATAAAACTGCCATAAATATTTCTTTGCACACTGTTTGTGGGTTGCAGCTAAAATGATTAATTTATCGTATACACAATGTTACAAGATAAGGCTACTGGAAATTGTAGTTAAAATTCAAACTGCTTCCAAGATTCTAAATTCGAAACTAAAGACTTCGACAACTATTGATTCGTAAAAGTCTTATCAAGGACTAACGATTAACCTAATTTTAGACATTTATGAATTCAGCTGCGAATCACTTCAGTAAGGCATCCAACTGTGACATGAGAAACAGTCACTGTTCATCACAACAGTAACCGAAAATCCCAAACAGTCACTGCAACACGAAAACTCACTTTAAATCACAAACAGTCACTGAAACAGTGACATGCAAAGCAGTAACTTCAGTAATACATGTAACAACAGTCACATGTATACAACAGTGACATTCCAAAGATCTATAGGCTTCCGGTTACGATTAGTGACCTACTTTCAAACTTACAATACCGTACGAAATTACGTTTGCATTTGCATTTCTGGTCTGAGCGAATATGGTGACAAGAGTCAAGAAGAATATGATAGAGATTAATTCAAGTCTAACTATTAATAACATTTAAACACAGTTGTCAGAAATTCATCACCACGAACAGGTGAAGAGAGAAAAAGCAAGTAATCTCAGCTTGGAACAGCACATTTTATTTTGTGTTATCTCTACAGATATCACGAGGTAAATACAGTACGAGTATTTCCAGGTCGAGGGAAATTGCGCCTTTTCGTCATTTTTTTTTTTTTTTTGTCTCTTTGAAGGAGCTTCTTCCGCCACTTTTCGAAAACAAAACGGAGTTCAGTTTCTCAAATTAAAACTGCCAAACTGTAGAAATAAATAAATAAATATAACGATGAATACTGAGAAAATATAATTAAATGAAACATAAAAGTAAATAAAAAGTAATCAGTAAAATAAATTACAAATATTTAAATACAAATGAAATAAAAATAAATTAATACTTGAAATAATAAAGTAAAATAAATTATAATTAATTAAATAATACACAAGAATAAATGCATCACAAAATATGCTTTACAAAAATAAATGAAATAGTAATAAAACGTTTTTGCATATTAAAAATTCATGAAAAGCATATGGCATTATGTCTATACGTTGTCATAAATCCATTAATAATTTTAGTGAAAAGAGTCCTTCACTATTTAATGTGTTCTGTAACCCTTTTGTCAAAACTTATACGATCACAGCAAATAAAATTACCAGAAACAATCATTGCAACATTTGATTAAGTGAATTTCATTAAGTGAATTAAGTGAATTGAATCTTTGCATTTAGAAACTTAAAACAATTAACATTTGGATCAAATGAAACAACTGGAGTTTCTTACTGAAACTAAGCTGTTATATATTTGTCTACCACGAGGAAAGAATGCCAACTCATGGTTGGTCACATCCCAGTTGTTGACCTTTTCTTGCAGATTCTAAAAAACATATCAGATTGGAATACAAATTTCTAAAACACCCCGTCGAACAGAACATTCCTAGTTACTAGTTGTGTTTAAATACTGCTACTACATTACATATGCCTACTAGCAATATGGTTTCAAAACCTAGATACAAATTCGAATGCGGTAAAGCGCATCTTACAAAGAATGACTGAGGATGAACTAAATTATTACAATTCAATTCATTCAATTCAGATAAAGATGACTGAAATGATTCTGTCTGTTAATTTTTGGACATGACACCCGGTCTTCACCACCTGTGAACAAATAATGCCTCATCTCCCTCATTAACTAAATTTTATTAAATATATATTGACTAAAACCAGATACTGTACTTCTTATGCTCGTTATGATACAGTTTAAATGCTTATAACATTTTGAATAGGAATTTTAAAAACCGGTTAACCCTTTGTTGCATACAAATAATCTAGAGAAGTTAAACGATAATATTTGTATTTTTTCTACTTAAAATAACCTTAGTAATAATAAAAAAAATTAATTTTATTCAAATTTCGTTTTAAATAAGGGCTACAGTTTGTACACTACAGTGGACAGCACGCATATACGTGCATGCATACAAATCTCTTCCCAACAATTTACGGTCATTCCATTCGAAATCCTTTCCTGCCTTGTTTGCAGTGATCATTACCACCTTCTAAATGGTAAATCTACAAGTGGCATGTACTTACAGATCCCCCAAAATACATTCATTTCGTCGATTGCGATTGAATTCATTTTGCTACTATTTTGTAACCTCTACCTATTGGATTCAAATGTCAAATGTTCAAGAAATTCCTTGCCAAACATAAACATTTCCAGTGATGTTTTGGCTCGATAAGCAGTCCATTTGGGTTTCAGTTCACTCTTTTCGGTAGATCTTTATCACCACTCCCCATTTCTCAAACTGAATTAAAATAAAATGTCTAAATTACTAATTCTGATAAAAAATGCAGTATAATAAATGTAAATAATGTTTACATGGCTTGTACAACTTGGAAAATGAAGTAGTATCATTTCAAATAGCAGGCTACTTATGATGCTATACAGCCATCTATGTCGACAGTTGAAAGTTCTAATAATATATGAATAAACACAGGAATGGAATCTGTTAAGGCATTTACAGAAGAATAAACAAATTTAAACTTTTGTCTTCTAGACTGGACATGATGCAACAAAGGGTTAAAAAACAAAAAATGAGCTGTGAAATGTAATTAGAAAGGCTGATAAGACACTCTGTTAACATCTCAAAGTAGGCAATGATTTTTTAACTTACGAAAAATATCTCGTTCTGCTGAATAAGAAATGCTGTCAGCCTACAGACCATGATAAAAATTTGCTTTAAAAAAGAAGGAATATATATATATATACCAAATAGTTCCATATCTATATCAAGTTCGAATTCCAGATATTTTTCTGCGAAGTGTTGGTATTGACTCAGTAAGACAACTGTAAGAACTTTAATTATAAATCGAAAAGAAAACAATCTATTATTTTAACTTTCGTGCAATTCATATTTTCATAATCCGGTCCACTGTTTTCTAAGAAATAATGAGAAGCATACGTGCGTAATTTATTCTCATTTTCTTATGGAGCGTCCATATAAATCATTTTATTATTTTCTTCAAAATATAGATATTGAATCTTGCATAATAAACGGCATCTCATTTATTCAGTTCACCGAGACACACAAAAGTCGCTAACAATGTTCTATCTACTGAACTATTTGTTCCAGTAATGGGAATTCCTCCTAATGTTTGCAATTCCTATCCAATGAACAACGACAATAGACTGGAGCATAACCGATCTAACCTTTTATTTGTGGAACTGATTCGACAAAGTCGGCTGTTTGAACCCTCCGGTATCTTTCGCCTCTCAATGGCCATGACTACTCTGGCAAGGAGGGAAGGGGAGAGAAAGGACGAAGTCATCCTAATGATGATGACTTCGTTCGCTATTGATTTCACTGCAAAAACTTTCCCCACCTACGATACGATAAGATTCGTCCCCTATCTAGGAATATGAAGTTAGGTATCAGTTTGCCAACCTGTGGGAAATTCTAATTCCCGGATGACTGATATTAATGACACTCTCCAAGGAATTTTTTATGCCAATGATCGAATATCTGTCTATAAAAATACTTAGCGTTTTGAATAAATGAGGGGAAATTAATTAAAGCATTAAAAAGACGGGTTTTGTGCGATATCTCCCTGACAGGGCATATTTCTTATGCCCGGATTGAAATCCTCATTATCACTCACTTTATTTGTTCTCGAGGAGCCATTAGAAAAGGAAAAGAGTTGGTGCTGTGAGCATAAGTTAATAGTAAGTATTCAAAAGTGAGCAACTGATACATAGATATCCATCATATGATTATTATAATATTTAGCAGAAAGAAATGAAATGCTAACATAGGAAAATGTAAGAAAAAGATTAAACACTTGAACTAGAAAATCTTTTGTTATATCTTTCGTAAATTTAAATATATTAAGAGGACGTTGATATTGATAGTGATAACAGTCTTGATAGACATCGTGTTTGGAAAAAAGAGGATAAAATTTTACGCCTAGTCTTACTGACAGAATAGCACTGAAAAAGCTTTGCTGAGGAGTAATGATTGCCAAACATCACGGACATTGTTGAAAAATGGAATTGCACGAAGTTCTATTATAATTATATGCGAGCGATAGGAAATTTACGTTAGCAATATAACCATGTTTTTTTTTTTTTTTTTTTAATTTTTATTTTCAGTAGAGTATGTAGTTTGTTTCGGAGTAAATATCTTGAAAATTCAACTGTGGCTTTGCAAGGAATCGGATTCAAAGCTCTTAAGCTGTTTGCTGGAGATGCACTGCACCACTGTTCCATATAAAAGAAATCTTTAATTTGTTGCATTCCTCTGCATTTGAAAGATGGTCGAGGAAAATAGGCAAAACCCAGTTTGTCAAATCGATATAATGATGAGTTTTCACCTTCCATGTTTACATTCGAGTGTTATACTGCCTTTTTTTGGATCTTTGTGCAAAAACTTTTGTTGTTGACGTGTCTGACCTATAGTTAGCCCAAGCCTACAGCACTCCTAGTGGCAAGGAGCCAAGATACGCTCTTGAGCACCTTACAGGTGACAGTGTGTTTTAGCTCAGTTCCGCCTCCAATTCTGATAGAAAGCGGGTCCAGGGTTCTCCCACTCCTCTTCTCCTACCAGCAACCTCTGGTGAGAACTTTCGGCTCGTCGCATATTTGAAGTGCCTCCATGCCGTACGGACAAACATTTACAAACATCCATGCCTTCTCCGGGATTCGAACCCAGGCCCTTCGGCACTGTAGTCAACGACGCAAACCACTATAGCGGTTACGCCGCGTGTGCAAGAAATATAACAAGCAACGATGACTGCATCTGTGGAAGAAAAAGGATACTCTGGTCATTATATATTCGCACTCCCATTTACTGAAAACCTGAAAAACCCAGCAGAAGGCATAGCATATAAAAAAATTTCTAATAAGAATGGGCTCCTCTAGTACGAAAGTAGTAAACATGGGAAGAATTATTACTCTACTAAGTGGCAACTGCGAGCTTGTAAGCTAGGCATGTCAATCAATTTTACATAACTTCCACCAATTAGCAAACAAAGAAACATGTGCCCTCATGCTGCAATGGATCATCCCCAATACTCAGTAGCAGTTCAGTAATTATTTATAAGTAAGTTATTACTAAACAAATTAGTTTCAAGTTAAAAAGTGTAAACATTAAAACCAAGCTTTAATTCGGTCACTCTTTCGCGTCTTCGATAATTTCCCGACATTTTCCCCCCCTTCTTTATGTTTACAATATATTTGAAAGAAATTTAAATATTTCTTTAGCCTAGAAGCAGTTTCTTCTTCTTCATCTTTCTAAAAAGCATATAAATAACGATGCATTAAAAATATTTTTCGAAAGCGTTTACTCATGCATTATGTTTTTGGTCTTTACACAACAAATCCTTTTCACTAAATATCGAAAAAAGTCTTCTCTCATGAATTACATGAATACCTAAAACCTATAAAATATACAAAACTTTGAAGACTCTGGTATATTATCTCGCTTATTTATATTGAAAATTTTGGTAGGTTAGACAAACATTATTTTGATTAATATTCATACTTTCAGTTGTTTATTCTTTAATACTATGAATATAAAAGTTGTTACTCATGCAAACATGGAAAGTCATTGTAGAAATATATTAAAGCAAATATTAAGCCCAAACTATCTGAAAACAAGTTTTTTTTTTTTTTTTTTACAAAACCTTTTTAAATTAGAATAATATATCAACAATTAACAAATCGTGATGATAATATTTAAATGCGTATAAGACTAGAATATTTA